GGCAAACAGACGTTGATCTCTTCTGATACTGCTTTAGATTTGCGTATTTCACATGTCTGGCACATCTTGGAAAATATTAAAATATTTTAGTGCAAGGGAAATGTCTCACTAACATAGGGTGAGAGTGGCTTCGGGTATGGCCCTTCAAACCAAAGGAATTTCCCCATGACTGACGAGAAGAGGTGGTTGTATTAGTATTTAAGTTCACATGGCTGGTTTGGGCATGTATCCCCCCCAAGTCCTCGCACTCTTCCTTTTAATTTCCCCAAATAATTCATTAAAGTCAATGCTTTGTTACATTGAAATATTACCAACTTTAGCTTCTGCTGACTTAGTTTCCACCATAAACTAACAGTCATTTAAATATGATTTAAATAATAAATGGTAGGTTGTCAAAAACGTGGAGTAATAATACCCAAAATAAGACCCCAAAAGGCTTCCCCATTTCCGGAACCCGCCTCTAACATTAGCACGTGGCTCTTTGTCTTCGGAGGTGTCGCACAAACCCCAAAACCCACACAGACTCTGCCCTACCTGACTGCCAGCAGCCTAATTCGTAACAGACTGCCTAACAGAAGGGAGAGAGCGAAGTTATATCCCCGCTTGTCCTTTTTGAATCAAGTTCTGACTTTGCACCCAGCAAAGTGCTTGGAAAATTACAGCTACTGCCGGAGAAACACTATCTCGTTCAGCCAGAGAGTAAGAGTTGCTGAAGACAACAGATGGGATTTCACAAGGGAGATCAACAGTTGTTCCCTCCCGGCACACTCCTCGAGAAAGCTACCTCCTCTCTGTGGGATCAAAGGCAGTCACCCACACAGAAATGTGGAAGTAGTTTGGCTCCAATGGCAGGGAAAAATAGAGATTTGTACTTGGTTTAACTGCCATCACAGGGTTTTAAAAGTTCGTGATTGTTCAGCAAAACATAGGGTTGTTTTTTTTTGTGGGAAAATTCTGTGCTTCAGCGGGCGTAGGGCTTCTCTTGCAGGAGGGTGGTCCCGCTCAAATTACTGTGCAGCGTCACGAACACACTCGGGTACTGGCAGGACTGGAACCTGATTACAAACCACCCCGGGGAGAGCCGGCCGGTGCCTGCGCCAAGCCTCTGCTTTGACATCCTGCCAGCGTTGCCTTGGCGGAGCGTAGGCAGAGGCACGCTCTGCAAACAGCTCTGCCCCAGTGACTTGGTCAAAGTCGCATAGAAAATCCTTGGCAGAGCTGTGAATAGAAGGAGGTGATGCTGTCCCACCGAAGAGGAGAAGGAAGCCTCAGTTAGGCAGAATACCCCCTTCTCCTGAATCCTGAAGCCACAGGCTTGTTTGGTAACAGGGTTATACTTCACCTGGCAAGGTCAGGCTCTTTGGTGCATGTTCCTTTTAAAATGGATCCGTCTAAAGATCCCTGCAAACAACAGATTGTTTCTGTGATTAATTAAGGGAACATCTGCAGTGCATCAAGGGTAGCCTTGTGTATACCACGGTGCATTTTTACTGACAGCAAGCCTTAAATGTTATATACAGTTTCTGTTGCTCTAATACAAGCATAGTAACTTTGTCATTCACTCAGATTTATGCCTATTTCACACAAAGGCTCCTATTTAGAAACTTGACATAACTCCTGGTAAGGAAGCTGCTTAGAATGTTAATCGATTAATAGAAATAATTCCTAAATTTCAGTGCTAATTTGTAACAATAATTGCATCCCCATATTGTGGCTGATAATATGAACCAGCCTACTGTCTGGCAATAGATAATACCTCGGATGTCCTTCACAGGGTATCAATGCTGCTCTCTTCTGGGCAGATTATATCGTGCTGCTTTTAAAGGCATTCAAAGAAACCGGTGCATAAACCCTCGAATCTGAAAACCGCATGTGCTTGGTGTTGTGATCGGCAGAAAAGGATACTATTTACTTCTGATCCTTTACTTCTGAAGGAGTTGGTGGCAGCGGCAGAGTGCAGGAGGGCAGACTTAGATGACGTTCAGACGGTTGAAGCTCACAGCCTTCCTACCTACCACCTGGCACAAGGGAAATGTACCTTATGTAACTTCCCTCCCCCCCCCCTTTTGCATCTGAACCTTATCCCTGAAGTTTTTACGTTATGGTGAATGTGTTTGGTAGAAATTCCCATCCCACTGCTGCCAGAGTAAGTCCTTAAAATAGTGACTTCCCTTTAAGGGTAGGCATTTAGATGTGTTCCCTGCAAAGGCAGATGAAGACAGCAGGCAAGTGTTTCACAGGCTGAGGCATTCAAAGCTTTGCTTCTCTTATACCCTGTATTTTAGTGAGGAAGGCTTCCCTGCTTGTGTTTGCAGAGCAGTTGTTGTTAAATAACAATAGCAGCAAAATTTTCAGCCTTGTCAGGAATTAGTCTGGGATGGCTTTAGGCTTCCCAGAGCTGTGAAATGTGCACTACGCCACGTGTGCTTGGCGTACCGGCAGCCCTGAAACGTGGTGTAGCTCCTCACATACCACCCCCAAGCCCATTGTTACTTTTAGGCCAGAACTGGGGAAGGAGCATCAGGAGAAAACCTTTGATAACGTCTGAGCCTGGAAGTATTTCCTTGGCTGCATGTGGGGGCCATAAGGATTCTTTATCCGTCCAAGAATGGAAGAAATATTTTTATTGTTTTGTGTATCATAAATGTGTCATTTTTCTTGCCCAAGGCTCTTTTCGCTGGCTGCAGGGAGGTCAATGAAAAGAAATTGTTAGGGGGAAGAAAAGTGCAATAGGATGAAGAAAGGGATAAGGTGTGTGTGGATATAGAAGGTGTGTGTGGATATAGCATGCCTACTATTTAAGACAGCACGGGTGAGTCTGTTCATTGAGAAATACCTGTGAGAAACACCATTCCCAGCAAAGCTAGCAGCTCTGCTTTTCCAGATCCAGACAGTAAGTTTTAAAAAAACCCTAACAGCTCACAAAATGGTTAATAGCCCCTGTTTAGAAAATGTGAATGCAGCAGCATTGGAGAAGAGATAAAAAGATAATTCTTGCTAGTGACTGGGTGTTGTAGTATCCCAAGTAAGCGATGAAATTCCCACAGCATACGTGGCTTCCCTAGCTTGTGTGGTTTGTCATACAGCCACTCGTCTTTGTGTCTGTACTTAGTAAACCACTCCACGCAAGCATACCCTGCTTTGTTGGAGCTCTGCTCTGAATCCATTTGGCTTGAGCTACTTTCCCATGACCTGACAAAAATCTGCTACCCCATACTTGGGGAAAACAGTTTAGATTAAGCAGATTTGGCAGTATAGAAATATCCAGTAAGAAGTAAACATATGTGTATATATAGATGTATTTTAATCACTGCAAGTCTACATGCTAACCTAGGCACAATGTGCCCCAGAACTAGACAACTCATCCAGCTAACGAGGTTAAGGAATGCCACCATCACATCCAGACACCTTTGGTTCCTGTTACAACCAGCTACCTACCAAGTTTAGTGAACCTTCGCCTATGTATGGATTGAGGCTCTGGACAGATAATGAAATGCTGAACTTGCTCCATATTTTTGTCCCAGAAAATTGCATCATGCTTACATAATTGTAGTCTGCAGGCCTGATTAAACCTGTTCACGTGAATGATTCCAACAGCAGTCACTGAACTTTAGAACAGACTGCATAGCAAGGACAGACACATATTTAAAAAAATTAATTTCCTCTATTCCCTGAAGGCTTCACAGCTCCATGTCTATGAAGGTTATTAGCTGGTAGGACAAGTTACAGACCCACGTGTAGTCTGGGAAGTGCCAGTATTTTGATTACTCTCAGTATGACTGTGGCCCCAGGAGTCAAAGCATACTGATATGAGCAACTATAAAAAGGAGCTCTAGAGCTTGCTGCATACCACTGCAGCCGCCTGGAGAATCAACATTACCCATGGAAATCTCTGCAGAAAGGTCTTTGCACTCAGCTGCCATCCTTCAGCTGCGTCAGAAAAGAAGGCTCAAGGCTGTAAGTGACAATGCTGGAAACAGCAGGCAAAGAGAAATGATATGGTAGTGAAAAACATGGCAAAATTATATGTCAGCAGTGATATGGGAAAAATACTTGAACATTATTAGCAGGAAGGGTTCCTAAGACAAAGATGTCCTTAGAAAAAGGTCAGTAGCTATCACAGACCAGTAACCCACAGGTGTGGAATTGAGTAAACCAAAAGAGAGGTTCATAGCGGCTAATTACTCGATGAATCTAGCGTAGGTCAGGCTGCAACTTTGTAAAACGTTTATTTTTTCAACAGACAAAATGAAGTATTTTCTAAATGGCTTTGTTTTGTTGTTTTGTTGTTTTTGTTTTTGTTTTTCCTTATCTACTTGAATTATCATGAGGGGTATGCCGAAAGCACTTTAAATTCATGCTGATGATGTTTACTTTCCTGGCTACATGAGTGCAAGGCTTATAACTGAACTTTGAAATTTTGCAGGGAAAGATGACAGACAAGATTGGAGAATATTAACTTCTTACTTCTCACATCCCCTTTTTCTTTGTTGTCCCTATTTGTGAAGGTATCATGCCTAGCAAATCCAGCAGCTTCAAGATCTACTGATCAGGGATGGGGTTTAACCTGGATGTTCTCTGGCTGTCTACTATGATTTTACATTTGGGCCTGGTAGGGAAAAGTGAAGGCAAACCTTCTCCTGGCCTTCAATTGCTTCTGTGTTAGGAGTCCTGCAAGGATTCTCATTTCAATCATCTCGAGCCATATCGTATTCCATAAGGAGCAGGCAGAGTTATCATTACAGGTATTTAAATACAATCATTGCATGTAAATACATAGTGTTAGCTGTGAATAACATCTATTTTACTTAATTGTCCCTATGCAGTTAAGGGTTTCTCTAAAGATCACACATTAAGGAAAAAAATCCTTAAAGTAATGACAGTTTGGTGTGAAAAGAAGAAGGTATAACTACCCATTCAGGAGGAGACATCCATTCTTCACATGGAATAAGGCAGGAGTTTTCCAGGAGCACAGATAATCTTAAATTTCTGTAATTAAATACTATTTCATAATGCATAGGTACAAGGGCACCGAGTTTAGGTCAGATCAGCAAATTCCCTTTCTGTAAGTTCCCAGCTTTGGAGCGTTGAACTCTGCAAAGTTAACGGGCTCCCAAGGAGGTCGTTCTTCACTGTAGCTTTCTGCATGTTTATTCCTTACGCATTTTTCAAACTCACAGGCTGAAAGAAAAATAAGAAGTTTTGTGAAAACCCAAACTTGGGTTTGACAGCAAGAGCGGCTGAAGCTTCTTTCAACTGCAGGGTTATCACAACAACCATCTGTACAGATATGCCTCAGTATTTACATGTAATCAAGGTATCGGCTGAAGTATCATGTTATTTTTAAATTCCTTTGAAAGGTAAGAAACTTTGATTGCAACATCTAGGATCAAATTATGACTTCTCTCTGCTTACTTTGTCAGGCTACAAATTATATCACATGACTAATACTGGAGGACACATTCAATTTTCATTTCGTGTTAATTTGCAGATAAATGTCTCCCAAACACCAATGTCTCCCAAAAACTAATGTTTACAATGTATCACTAGCTGATACATTGTAAAAATTGCAATTATTTAATTTAAATTTCATTTTTTTTATTTCAGGTATTGCTGACACTGTTCTTTCCTGCCTTAAAGAAATCAAATTGAGGAGGGATGTATAGCACTGAAAACTGTCAGCAACATTTTGGTATTTCCATGGTTTGCTGCGTAAGTGGTTACAAAAATAACATGTTCTCAGCCAGCTGTTTGATTCTTTTTTCCATTGAAAGTGTAGCTCACATGTCTACCATACACCAAATTTTTTTTCGACTGAGAAATTTATACAACTTGATTTGCCGTTATTATCCAGTAAGCCATAGCAATCACTGTATATGACAGTGCTGCACATTTGTATTTCTTCTGCAACAGGTACCTTCTAGTTCTGTATTTTCGTATTTCTCAACAACTTATTTTTCAAGAATTTTCTCTTCAGAAACTCCGATGGATTATTTTTATAATAATTTCCTTTTACATGACATCTCATCACCACCAGTCCTCCATGAGCAATTGATAAACCTCCAAACACAGTCAAGTAAGCTTTATAATAATTATGATCTTTCCTGATCTATGCAAAGTCATTTTTTCACATGGTTGCAAAAGTGCAAGCATCTTCTTATTAGATGTTGATGGAAAATTGACCATAGCCATAATCCCTATGTAGATGCAAATCAATATCTGCTGAAATACGTACGTAATACTTAGAATTGATGTTAGACCATTACAGTTTTGCCTGCTGTGGACATGCCTTGTAGGGGCCCTGATGCTCTGCCCCACTCGGTTACAATTTAGCCCATGATATCTACATGTGATGAAACCATTTTGCCTTCCAAAGAATGAATCTATAAGTAATACCAGCTGCAATTCTCTTAACTATGCTGTTCTGGAAATATCTCTCAGACATAGCTTTTTGCATTTTGATGGCAGCATAAATGCCCTGTATAAAATTTGCTGAGAATTACAGACTTTGAGTATTTAATGGTTCTTTATATGTGTGCAACAGATTAGTTTGTGTAAATGAAACAACTTACAGCAAAGAAAGCTGAGATTCAATCCCACAGAAGTCACCGGGATGGGGGGGAAGGGGTTGAGTGTTCATCATGCCTCTCTTAATCATTTTCAGTCCTTTGTTTCAGCCTGTCCCAGTCCCCGGGGTTCAAACAGCCGTGGCAGTACGGGACCAGAGAGCATACGAATCACTCAAGGAGAGGAGGTGATTCTTCTCCAGTGTGCAAAACTCTCACTCAGACCTTCACCCAAAAAAGGTGATTTTTCTCTCCAGTGCCCAGCTCTGAAGCCCACCCAAGGCTTGGAGCCCCCCAAGGCTCAACACAGGATTGCTGAGCCGGGAGAAATGCTGCTGGGAAGCTCTAGCACTCCTTCTAGCCAGAAATATCCAGTCTCTGCCTGAAGGAACCAGCTGGCTCTCACAAAATATATTACACGTGGCTGTTCTATCTCTCACATGGCATTTCTTTGCTTGTGTTACAAAAAAAATAGAGGCTGGGGGCTATACGTTAAAGCAGGCCAGGTCTTAAATGTGAAGGTACAGCCACAGTTTTACTTCACATTTAAGTAGTCAGGGAAAGCAAACATGAAGGAGCTGCAAGTAGAGACAAAGCAAGTTCAGCCTTCCATCCAGTAGAGAAAATGCTGGTGCATTGGATATTGCACAGAACACCGTGGAGTTTTCCCCCTGCACATCACAGGATCAAATATAGCTCACAGCAAAGTTGCAAGTCTAGCACCTATATGCAAGCTGAGAATCGAATGGTCAGATACCAGAAAGATGGACAACCTCCTGAGAACTTCCTCAGACCCACCCAGTGCTTCAGAAAAGAAAAAAGAGAGAGTTTCCACAAAGGCGACTCTTGGAAGTCCTCTTCTAGGGAGGACGCAGCCTTTCAAAGTGCAGTATTCGTCAGCGTGACTGGGACTTGCTCTGT